AATGATGATGCGTGACAAGTATGCTAACATGTCATGAAAAAAGCCCCGTGAGCGCAAGGGATCACTCTTCTTCACCGAGATGCGCGCCGGTCTCGTCGCCTTCTTCGCCATGGCTTACATTATCGCCGTCAACTCCTCCATCGTCGCCGATTCCGGCGGTACCTGCGTCTGCCCGCGCAACGCCGACGATTTCACTTGTGACAAGGACCAGGACTACATGCTCTGCGTGGCAGAGGTCAAGCGCGACATCGTTACCGCCACCGCCGCCATCTCGTCCCTGGCTACCTTCTTCATGGGCCTCCTCGCCAACATGCCCGTCGGTTGCGCTCCCGGTATGGGCTTGAACGCCTACTTTGCCTACTCCGTCGTCGGTTACCACGGAACCGGTGCCGTCCCTTACCAGGTCGCCCTTACCGCCATCTTCATCGAGGGCTTCATCTTCTTCGGCCTCGCCCTGCTCGGTCTGCGTCAATGGCTCGCTCGCGCCATCCCCCGCTCCATCAAGCTCGCCACCGGTGTCGGTATCGGTCTCTTCCTCACCCTCATCGGTCTCACCTACAGCGAGGGTATCGGTCTGATTGTCGGCGCCACCTCCACCCCCCTCGAGTTGGCTGGCTGCATCGCGAGCGAGCAGGTTGACGGTCTCTGCCCGTCCTCGACCAAGATGCGCAACCCCACCATGTGGATCGGCATCTTCTGCGGTGGTATCTTCACAGTCATGCTCATGATGTACCGCTTCAAGGGCGCCATCCTGGCCGGAATCATCCTCGTCAGCATCATCTCCTGGCCCCGTAACACCTCTGTCACCTACTTCCCTGACACCGTCATCGGCGACTCCAACTTTGACTTCTTCAAGAAGGTTGTCGACTTCCACCCGATCCAGAGGACCCTCAACGTCCAAGAGTGGAACGTCGGAGGATATAGCGGTGCTTTCGGCCTCGCCCTCATCACCTTCTTGTATGTCGACATCCTCGACTGCACAGGTACCCTCTACTCCATGGCCCGCTTCGCCAACCTCATCGACGAGGAGACTCAGGATTTCGAGGGCTCATCCGTCGCTTATATGGTCGATGCCCTCAGCATCTCCGTTGGTGCCCTTTTCGGTACTCCCCCCGTCACTGCCTTCGTCGAGTCCGGTGCCGGTATTTCTGAGGGAGGCAAGACCGGTCTGACTGCCATGGTCACCGGTATCTGTTTCTTCATCTCCATCTTCTTCGCTCCCATCTTCGCTTCCATTCCCTCGTGGGCCACCGGCTGCGTGTTGGTTCTCGTGGGATCCATGATGGTCCGCGCTGTCACTGAGATCAACTGGAGGTACATGGGTGATGCCGTTCCCGCCTTCATCACCCTCGCACTCATGCCCTTCACCTACTCTATTGCCGACGGCCTTATCGGTGGTGTCTGCAGTTACATCCTCATCAATGGCCTTGTCTGGGTCATCGAGAAGGTCTCCGGTGGCCGCATCGTTCCGTATAACAAGAACGAGAAGGACCCCTGGACCTGGCGCATTCCTGGCGGTATCCTGCCGCCTTGGGTCCGCCGCGCGTTCAAGGGAAAGAAGGACTTCTGGCGCTCTGATGAACACCAGCATGCCGCTTCCGAGCCCCACCCCCTGGAGAAGACCATCAGCTCCGAGCAGGGCGGCTCTGTCACCGGCAAGGACAAGGAGATTGGAGAGACCATCACCCCCCATGGTGACAGGTCCTCGTCATGAGCGGAACAAAAGAAGTCTTTTTCGAGGAGTTTTGTGGGATATTAGTCATTTGAGTACCACATTGGGGAATTGGATAGGATACCCGAATGATGATGCATCTTCGTCTATTATTAGTTGCCTTTCGTTGAAAGTACAATAGAACCAATCTAAGATAAATGATGGATCGTCCCATCAGTGTTGATAACCCCATGTAATGTTCAATCCCCGTAGTATGTAATGCGTGCGGCTTTTTTGAAAATGCTCAGCGGTGCACTCAAGCTTCGTCCCTCTCTTCACTGCCATTAGAGACGGTTGAAGCACCATTACCAGCGGCACCTTGGTCGTCGCCGTCAGCGACGTCAAAAGCCTCGGATGGCATAGGCGTTCCGCCCTCGCCTCCAGCTTGTTCCATGGCTGCCAACCTAGCAGCGCGGCCTTCTTTCTTGCGCGGCACTGGTGCTAGAGAAGGTGTCAGCTTACAACTTCTCGATGGTCCCCTTTAATCAACGACTTACCTCTTCCATTCTCCTGCACGTAGAATCTCCGCAGCAAACCGACAGCTTCGTCGCGGCCCCAACCACCTTCTGCTTCGAAACCTGGCTCGACGTTTCCGCCATCGCCACCTCGGCTCGCGGGACGATTGCTGTTGAGGGAACTCTTTCCCGACGCAGAGCTTGCCGGCCTTGGAGCGTTGGATGCATTGATCTGAATCGGCCTGAGAACAGTGACTGGGTTGGGGTCTTGGCGGGTGTCTGTAGAGTTCTTGTGGATGCTGAATACACCGCCAGTTCCACCAAACTTGTCGTTGACAGCGCCAAAGTAGACCTTCTTGATCCCAAGCTGTCTAAGAAGTCCGGCGCACATGACACAGGGCTCGACTGTAACGTAAAGAGTGCACTCCCTGACGATAGAGCGGTCGACCCGAGGATCGAGATGAAGCTTCTGGCCGTAAGGGTAGAGGTGACCTTTCCTGACATACTCGTCGTCGTCCGGGAACAGATCCGATTCATCGTCAGGAACATCTACTTTGGAACGTTCGCTGGCCTGTTGGCGAAGCTGAGCCTCGACGGCCTCCTCACTATTGTTGGGTCGGTAGGACAGCAGTGCAGACAATGCCATGAACTCAGCATGGCGGGTACCGTTCCGGGTTACGTTCGTGGCATTCATGCCTCTCGCAATGACCGATCCGTTGTGGACAAGGACACAGCCAACGGGCGTCTCGTTGGTGCGCAGTGCTAGTCGAGCCTGGATACGATATTAGGGGTGTTTCATTGCTATGAGGGGACTTGCTGGTCGGTCTAGCTGCTTACCATATCCAATGCCTGATCCATTAGCATCTGGTGCATAGGCCTTTCGCTGAGAGGTGTGAGCGTGGTCTGGGGGATGGAGGCTGATGATCGCGGTCGACCGAGGGATTCCAGGCTCATACGGCTCAGGGCCGGAGCTGGAACGGAGACCACCGGGGCGCTGGGCTGGTTCTCCTTGTCATCTCCCGAAGCGGGAACGGGAGCCTTGCTGGAGGGATATAGAGGCAGCGCAGGCTCAGTCGACTGACTGTGTCGAGTAAGAACGCCAGCCATCTCTGCGTCTTCTTGCACTGATGTCTGCTCTGCCTGGCTTGGCTGTGCTTGGGCGGTATTTGTTGCTGGTAGTTGGGACGAGGGCGCTAAGGTAGGTGAGGAAGAGGATGGTGATTTGGAGTTGGGGGTGAATGAGATTTTGAGGCGGCAAAATATGTTTTGCAGGAACTTGCTTGTCGAAGCCCGCTTTCCTCTATCTTTGTCCTGTGTTCCGGTTCGAGGCCCAGACTCAGGCCCAGGTCCACCTGGAGGCGCATCTGAAGAGGCAGGAGCGTTCATGGTGATTTTTTTGGGAAGGAACCAACTTGTTGCATGCCTTTCTACCCTGGGTACCACAGAACCTTCACGGATTCAAGCTACGCAGTACGACTGGCACTAAGGTAAGGTGCAGAGAGCACTTGACGACTTCAGAGATGTAGACAATCGTTGCCTTCCCGAAGAAATGAGAATGGGGGCTATTTGCTCTGTGTGTCCCGAGTTAAACCAGAGCCTCAGCAACGGACTGGACTACGGTAGTCTCGTCAAGTAGACAAGAGACCGAGAGGTTCTAGGCCGACGCAAAGTATAGCGTATTTCGATACAGGCCAATGTAGAATGTTGTAAGCTGCCCTTGTATTTGGAGAATCCCTGGCCTACTAGATCAGGTAGACATACACCCGAGGCAAGGTAAGTTCGGGTAAGCTGTGAAGAAGTTGCGTCTCTCACGAGAGCTTCCTTTGTCGCTGCTCTTTCTGTTCGAACAATGAATTGGGTTGACAAGGGCTTTTGTTGGCACTTGACTGGGAAAGTTTCAAGACTGCAAGAACCGACTTTTCAAGTGTCAGAAGGGTTATGTATGTTTCCTTATCTGACTCTATTGCAGAAGTCCAGGGCAAGGCTGTCCTTCAATACTTGTCCTATTCAAACGAAGTGTGGACCAAAGCCTTGAAGAGTACCTGGACTGAAACCACACGCGATACTGGGCGCTTGTTGTTTAAGAATTGCCCTGAACAGGACTCCAAGTAAGTGGCAGAGTGACAAACAAGGATGACTCAGTCTGGCTGTAGTCAGCACACGTCGCTCGAGACAATAAAGCAAATAAAACTATTTGCCTGGCTTGCTACTCACTATGGAAAAGGAGTATTGTTAGTCACGTAAACCCCTAGCTTTTTAGGAGCCAAGGTTGAATCAGTCTTTGCCCCGATCTACCCTATTGCCATGAATGAAGTTTGCATTAGGTGGGAACACACGGTATCACGTGACCCCACTGTCAAACGGTGGCACTGACCACTTGAACGTATCCTTCTCAGGGTACTCAAGTTCGTGTTGAGATGAAGGACGAATCTGAAGTCCGAGGTCCTTGGCAAGCCCTTCTACAGCTTTGGAATGGTCGTGTCCGTATACACTGAGTGCACGTCGGGCGAAAGTCAACATGAAGAGGTGTGAGCAAGGCAGTTATATTATATCGTACGACGCTACCACCAAATTTAACTAGACTATACAGCAGTTTATACGCAACTGCTCCGTGTCCAGCATACTGGTCCCAACCTGTACAACAGAACACAACCTTGCCCGATGATATAGCTGACGTGCATGCCATTCGTGAAGAATGCACGTCTCATCAAAAAACAGAGGGGTATCTCAGAAACCAACGCTCCCAATAGACAGCAACAAAAACACTACGACAACTATCATATCCATACAAGCCAGGGCCATTAGCCCAAGCCGCAGATGGTCGACACAAGATCTCATGAGAGACCTTGCGCGAGGCCCAGAACCTTTATCCGCGCCCCGTTGACCGGGGTTTGTGCGGATTGGTTCTGTCGACAGGTACGTCGTAGTCTCGTGCTGACACAGGAGAGAAGCCTCGCGCCGTCGCTCAAGCCCTGCGGCTTTGACGTGGCGGTCCCAAGATGGCTCTGTTCCGGTCTCGAGTCATAGAGACTTGAGTAAAAGTGGTAGACCTTGTATATCGCTAGGCCAATAGCGAGTTGAATGAATCGGCCGGCGAACGCCTGTACCATGAGGACTTGCGCACCCAACCCGAGTACAGTCGCAAAGAGTGCCACGTATACCAGGCACTGCGACTTGGACAGCCAGTCGACGAGAGAGCGGCGCTTGCATGTCAAACTACCACCCGCAACCGCCTCCGTCAGAATGCGTACCCCGCCTAGTACAAAGGCGCCAGCAGAGGAACGGGTGACGCTATGTGTGGTGTTGTGACGACTTTCTGACGACTCTGGCGTGGCAAGCTGGAGCTGAGCATCCGGAGAGACGCTGCTGGACATTCCGCTAATAATTGCTCCACGGCCATTGGCGCCATTGATTGTCCTCGTGATATGCGCGTAATAAGACGCCTCCTCGACGGCGGTCGAGGAGCGTGAGGGCGCAATGACTGAGGACGTTGGTAAACGGCCAACTACTCCTGGCAGTACGCCGCCAAGTGCGGTGACATGTACTCCTGAAGAATTGACAGCAGCGTGGGACGTGGCATGTGGCAGTGGTAGTGATTGTGGCGAGCTTGGTTGCAGGACTGGATCCGCAAGTCGTTGTGAGCGTACACTGCGGGATGTTGCATTGACGTCGGATAGGCTCAATTGAGACTCAGACACGGTCTGTTCAAATGTCAGAATAAGTTCAGGCTGTATCGTGTGAGGAATGCTTACCATCGAAGCGCCCGGAACTCCAGCATGTACTGCTACAGACGATGGACGGTGACGGTGACGACAGACCGCGACGCTGGCTCCTCCCAGTGCAGTTCCGCTTACTGGTACTCCGATATCGTCTGCCAAGTAATCATCTGGTGCCGTTGGAGAGCGACCGAGGTGCACTTGTTGCTGAACTGACGACTCGCCGCTTTGAGGTGAGCTGCGGCGCTGAGACACCGTGCTCTGGGCCTTGGTGGTAGTAGTAGTAGTACCAATGTCACTGAGCAGTGCAACGTCGTCGTCCAAGAAGCTTGGCTCGGGTGAGTAGAGGTTGAAGTCGACATAGTTGCTGATGCGTGGGGAAGAGTCCAGGTAAGGAAGCGCCGGCGGCCGGACATCGAGCTCGTCGGTGAATGGCTTGCTGACAACCACGTCTTGTAGGCCATCGGAGCCGTTCCGAGACTGGCTGAATACCATCGAGGGAGTAATGGGAGACTGGCTTGACTCGGGAGTGAGGTGTCCCGCAGGGTCGAAGAAGAAGTCGTACTCGAAAGGCGCGACGTTGGCGGGCTCGTCATCGAACTGGACGAAGGACTCCCAAGAATCTGCCATATCGAGCATGTCGAGGTCCGCGAGTGAGGGCTCTGTGAACAATGCTGGTGTTGAAAATGATGTGCTTGGTTGTGGTGACCTTTCGGCTGCTACTGGCGAGTCCCTCTTCGACGTCTTGGCCTTCTTCGCCGACCGCGCTGGAGCCGCGGCCGCACCCTGTGCTTGTGTGGTGGTGCGCTTCTTGTGGCTAGGGTCACACCTGACCTTCTTCTTCTTGCAGGCGTCGCATGCCTTAATGATGCGCATCAGATGCGCATGATCACGCTGCTCCTTGGTTTTGCAACCGCGAGAAGCAGAGTTTGTGACATCACGACCATCCTTTGTCATGATCTTCATCCCAGGGAGGTGGGAGAAGTCGTTAGCCTGGGGCTTTGTCGCAGAAGATGCGGCCCTCTTGGACGACTTGGAGTACACGGATTCCTGGCTGAGGGACGCGGGAGTAGACGCAGAGGCTGAGCCGGGCGTAGACTGAGACCAAGACCAGTCAGAAATGACAGGGGAGACGAAGTTGGAGCTGCTGCTGGAGTTCTGCATGGGGCTAGATCCGGCAGAGGAGATGGCGGAGCTGCTGGAATCGCTGGCAACGGGATAGTACTTGAAGGTCTCTCCAGTGAGCTGAGAGAATGCAAAGAAGTCCATGGAGACGGTGGCTCGTTTCTCCTGGATGGAGGCAGAGCCGGGGAGGTAGGCGTTGACAAGGTCGTCGAGTTCCTGGGTGCCCATCTCAGGGTAGAACTGCAGAGACGCGCCAAGGAAGGGCTGAGAGATGGAGAAGCCTTGGAAGGCAGCGGTAGACTGGTTTCGTATCACGCCGGACATTGCGTTGATAGTGTTGGCTACGGAAGGTATGCGGCGGAATGTAGAAGATATGGTGACGGGGAATCGGATCCCTTTAGTAACTAAGACCGGATTGTTTCCCAAGTCTGCTGAAAGCTTGCTAATGAGAGTGGGTAAGTAACTGTTTGGCCGGTCTCATATCCTACATCAAGCTGCCCGGAGTTCTGTATATGTCGAGTTGAGGTAGGACGATGTTGGGGGGGGGGGGGGTTGTCTGCTTTTACGCGAAAGTGATACAAGATACATCGTGATGGCGAAGTGTCTAAATCCCCAGATCTTCCCACTGAGGAACTACATGCTGCCTTGGGAATCGCTTTGATACACCAAGTCGTATGGAGATTAAAGCTCACCTTGATAGAAAGCTCTCGTTCGAGGCGATTTCCAATATGAATTTGGTGTAAACCGGATGATGAGACTAGATGGGAGGTTGTCTCTGGAGACGAAACTTGCAAGGGGCAGGCAGTTTGTCAGCAACTTGGATTCCTCCTAAGTTGGCTGATGGGGTGTTGTTGAAGGGAAAAGTTGCGGGACAAGAGACGGATCAAGGGAAGTTCTCCAGCTTTGGAGTAGCTTCACTCGGGTCTGCTAATCGACGTATTCGGCTTTTCAGTATTGAAGATTGGAAAGAGAAGTTCGAGAGGGAAGCGGGTGAGCCAGGCCGGAGTCATGGATGGTATTTCACTGCTGAGGCCGCAACTGGCTGTCCATCGGTACCCCAGCAAGGCGCAGCCGGTGGTTTTGATTGAGCTCGTCGGCGAGATGAAAGCGGTTTAGCGTAATGCGGACGGTGTCTGGGGACGAGGCCAATGAGAGATGCATATACGGCTTAAGAGGCCCACTTAAAGGAATCTGATTGGCTTGTACGCCCCACAACTCGTGAGCCGGGCGCTGGGTTTTCGGCGAGAATAATCGTCTCTTATTGGTCAATGACGTCCAATCTCAGGTCACGTGGTCCTGGTGACTCAACCCATAGCCAATGGCGGCCGCCTGAGGCTTCAGATAATCAGTCATAATCCGTCTGATGCTCTCACAAGCTCCTGCCACAAGCAACGACGTACCTGAAGGTATCCCATACACATCCTGTCCCTGTATTATGCACGATGACCCCGGGAGGAAGACGTACGGGTACAGATGATGCCAAAAGTTCCCCGGACGCAGCACAACATACTCTGTTCACTTGAGGAGGCTGACAGGATATCAATGGATCCTGTCGTGATCTTGTAAGCGGGGTGGTGCGCGGTAAACCCCACATACCACGAATCCCTTAGCTGGAAAGAGACAACCTAAGACTCCAGAATGCCAAGTCATGCCGGGTACATGAGGCTTAGAACCTCCAGACGAGGGAAATCAAGGTATCCGTACAGAGTACAGAGTACACAAGCTTTATTTTACCTTCCGTTCCGTACCGCAACCTCTCGGGGTTAAGCTTCCAAGGCACCTTTCGAGGCTTTCCACCTCTGGTTTGCCAATGCCACCACACATAGAGCGGAATCTGCCCGGTTGCTGACAAGTGTGTGGCTGGCTTCGCCCAATTGGTTCAAGGCAGCCGGGGTGTGTTACCAGCTAGCACAACACGAATACAGAATGGCTGTCTTCTGCAAATGGGCCAAGCACGGTACTTTTGCTGTGTTATGGGCGTGCCGTTGTAACGCTAGTCTGGTCCTTCGGATTCGAGGGAATCCTTTCGCTCCATTCGGCTCTATTCCGCAGTCTGTAATGTTCACTACCCAGCCGTGCCAGCTTCGTGCCAGCCGAACCAATTTACCCATATCGTGAAGTCGGGACGATCGATACCGGAAGTAAGAGGGAAACTATTTCATATAAGTTCCTTCACTCACCTAGATCTGCTTTCTGTATTTACCGTCGCTGAAGAGAACTCGAATGAGTGGACAATATGATGAGACTCAGTTACCACGGAATGGGAGCGATTGCGTGGAACTTTGGTCCCGTATGAATTATCCTACTAATGTCGTAAAGCCGCCCTTACATACCTTACCGAAGGCATTGGTTGAGGACCTGTTGAACCGGAATCACAGCAAACCCCGGTGGCTGAATCTCTATACTTATCGCAGAAGTGATCCATCTGGCACTCACAAAGGTTTCAATCTTTTCGATAACAAGGTACTCAGATCCGCCTGGCACCTGATTCTGCGTAGCAGGTCACTATCACTAGTCACACAATAGCAAATAAAGTTCGGTCCAAAACTGGTCAAAGGTGATCGACAACTGGGAGGTGCAACACCTGAACGGCCACGTACAACTTCGCTATATTTTGCGCAGGATTCTTCATATCAAGTTTCAGAACTGAACGGATTTTCCAGTATTGCCATAGCTGGAGGATGGCTGGCTTGGTCGTTGTAATCAGACTAGGAAAAGGGTGGAAACGGGAAGAGTCGGCGGGAGACTGATTGTGTTGCTGACCGTGTCTGTGCCTCGACCTATCTGACATTTGCTTCCTGTCCCGAAGGAGTCACAGTAGTTAAGTGTGTGCTATCTTCTTTACTAAGCTATCCCGGTATATGCGGTTTCGTTCGTTGTGTGCAGAATTGGCGAATCTTCTCGGGAACCTTGATACTTATTGTAACCGTGTACCGGACTTACAAGGCTGGGATGCTTATAATCCTTCGCTCAAATCCCCTAAACACTAACCACTAGATGCCAGCCACGGCTCGACGATGAGGTGGTTGGGAGCTTGCCGGCCAACAGCCCCAGGCATGGAAGTCGACCTTGAAGACACAGCTCCAGACACCTCTGTGATGAACCGTGATGAACAAGAGAACAGTGAATTGTCACCAAGGCCTGTAAAGTAGCGGGGGAAAACGCGAGTGAATTACCCCGCTTGCACAGGTCGCGAGTTTGAGTCTTATGAAAAACCGCTGCATCGCTACACCTGAGGCTGGTAAGAGTCTCCAGGGATTTGCGGAGGTCCCCCGTGAGGGGGCTGAGCTTTTTCATTTTGTTTCTAGTAGGTAAAATATGGCACGGGGCAAGGCAGTTTACGGCAAGGGCTCATAATATCGCATAAAGAGGAGGGATGGACATGTCCTGATAGCATCATCTAGCCAATATCTCACCGCCAACCACGTGGTCTCCAACATCCTCACACCGAGGCATACTCCCCTCCATCGACCGTTATTTGAGGTGAGCTTCACTTCTACAGCTCGTGCGAATGAACAGTCGATCTATGTAGTATACATATATCACTTTCATACGGCCGTAGAGGTGTGTGTGCCTTGCAGCACTTGAGTATATTCAACGAAGGACAACTACGTACAAACGTATCGACCAAGAGTCTCACAGGGTTAATCATTAGTAGAGACGAATACTTTCACCAGGACGATGAGCGGCGTTCGCACCCATTGGGGTATGCCCAATCTACAGGCTACTGGACTGTTTATACTCGCCCCCGTTCATCTCAGCTGCTGGAAGGAACCTTCTACTCAGCTCTGACCCGGCCAGTTCCCGCATCCCAGGAGTCTCTGGTGTAATTCATCACTTCGCTGCCACCTGTGGGGGAGGGGGGAACGACTCAGGACTGATGTTGCGGGCAGCATGTTGAGCTCGATCTCGAGAAATGGAGGCGCATCCAGTCCATTTAATGTAGTGATATATAAATTCATTGGATCAATCCAAATTAGATACTCGCATTTCGCCGTTCTGTACCTGCGTAGCTTCATACTACAGTACAATGCTGACAGTGACGAAGTCCCGAAGATATCCTCACTTTCGCAGGTCAAGCGTAAGGCGCGTGCGAGGTCCTTGAGATCTGTCTCCTAGGAATGCGACATGAAAACCGCGTCTCAAGGGTCGGGATCGAGCGAGTTCCATGATTCCACTTGCCTATCTATATGTTTGTCGAGATTTATCGCCCTGTTCTGTTGCTAGCCTCATCACCCAGGTCTTGTGCATCCTAACAAATCGTGAGCCTCTTTGCTCCAGGGACCTCCGTTTGCCCTTTGAAACCCAGGAAGTTTCTTTTTGGGCTCACCGGCCACCACGCCGACTTCAGCGCTAGTCCTTGCCTCTGATTTATTGCCAACTCTGCCAAGGTTCCTATTGAGAGCTGCGTCGAGGTTGGCCGCCAAGACTGGCTCTGGAACAGCGCCCATAGCATCTGACTTCTGTGCCGCTTTCCGGCCCCTCGTTGCTGGGTTCTCTAACCGAGTCGTTCTGGTAAGCCTTATGGCTTCTGCTTGTCCAACACCATCCGACGTTTTAGAAACCGAGGAATTGGCTTCGGAATGACTATTAGTCGTAGCGGGGGCCTCTCTCTGAGGCGCTGCAGTCGCGGCCGAAGTTTCGAGGTATTTGCAAGGCGGTCTTGTGTTGAACGAGCCAATAATTTCCTTACTCTTTACAGTCCTTCGACCTAGAGATGCTAATCGCGGGCCTGGATTGACGTGAACCTCTTCCACGTCGTCTTGCCGGTCCGGGCTACGCCGAGCTTTCCGCGTCCTTAGCGTCCGCGCTGGCTGCAAGGAGTATCCGGATGATTGACGACCTTCTTCGTCAGAGATTTCAGGCTGAACCAAATCCTCGGCCATCTCGCCGGGTCGTTTGTAGTCTTGCACTCTATCGGCCCTGTCATCAACCTTCGGAGCGGCTTCTGTGTAGCCATCATGCGCCGAATTCCCCGGTGAACTTTCTATGGGCAAAACAGGGATCGTTGTAGGAGTAAGTTCCGAAGGAAGGGCATCCGTTATGACCTGTCCATCTGATGTTGACGGGTTGGACCCATTTGCGTGTGAACTCAGTTGCCGTTTTTTGGTCTTCGTGGTGGCCTTCCTCGCGACCACCATCAGACCGCGTTTTTCTCTTGTCTTGATGCGAAGTTTGGTCTTTGGCTCTTCTGGATCTTCAGCCTCATCACCTGGTACCAAAGTCCTTTCTGGTACCGACGCTGCTGGTATCAATGAGGTGCTTTCATTCTCCGAGAGGTGTTCGTGTATTCCTGGCGCCTTCCTCTTTGCCGTTGCTTGAGC